AGAATGTGTATATTCGAGGAAGTTTGAAAGTAACGCCATTGGTGAAGAAATTGAGAAGCAAAAGGTTAGCGTATGGACATGTTATGCGAGACGATGGGGACATAAACCGGAAAGTGTTAAGATTGAATGTGGGCTACAAAGGTAGAGGAAGACCGAAGATAGTATGGATTGTGTGAAAGACATGCTTAAAAAAGGAGTGGATTCAGATATGAAGGCTGATAGAGATGTATGGAAGAGCACAAATGTGCCGACTCTCCGTAAGAGATAAGGGCAAGTTAATAATGATCAAAGCACATTTAAGTAGAAATTAAATGTCCTCGATTGTTACCAAAGAAATTGTCAATTCGTTTTAAACACAATAGTTTAGTAAGATGTTGATTTATTTCTTATTTCTTAACAGTGTTTGAAAAAAGAATCAGAAAAATTGTATAAATTTAGTAAAAAATACGGTAAACGTCATTTAATTACTAGTGTTTACCCGTGACTATTCCGCGTGGGATTTAAAAAACTGAGTAGTCTATGTGTTCTTCCAGACTGTCTACATGTATGCCAAATTTCATCGAGATCCGTTCAGCAGTTTATGCTACAAACTCTAACAAACATCCATCTAAACTTTCACATTTATAAGAATGTTTTTTTGTTAGCGATGGAACTCCTAGATAAGGTATAATGTTATTTGTAAATAAATTTAATCAATCAATTATCACTGTAACTTTAAGTTGTAAGTTATTTATTAAATTGGATTTATCGAAATAAATACATTAAAGCAAATTGTAGTTTTTTTCACAACTAACGGTGTTCACTTATTTAGTAAAAAACATAGATAACATAAAAACCAACGGTATTTACAACTTGTATTTTCCGCTAAAACTCAAAAAAATACAAAAAATATGTGAATAATTCTGACATAACTAACGCCTGCGACTTCGTCTGCATAAAAAAAACAAGTACGTAACCTATGTGTTCCAGACAATCCTCTACATTTGACAATCGTCGAGATCAGTTCACTTTAGAATACAAACTAACAAACATGCATCTAAACTTTTGCATTTATAATATTAGTAAGAAATAAAATTTGCTACCTTTACTTAAAAGAATCACCTTTTTTAGGTTATTTTTTAAAAAAATTATTAAAAAACAAATAAACCTAATCACCACGTACGGAGGGTCGGCACAGTTGTGCTCTTCCATACATCTCTATCAGCCGTCATATCTGAATACACTCCTTTCTTAAGCATATCTTTCACACAATCCATACTTTCTTCGGTCTTCCTCTACCTTTGTAGACTACATACAACCTTAACACTTTCAGGTTTATGTTCCCATCGTCTTGCATAACAAGTCCACACCACGCTAACTCTTTTGCTACTCAATTTCTCCACCACTGGCGCTACTTTTAAACTTTTTTTTATAATATAAGGTGGCAAACAAGCAAGTGGCCACCTGAATCTACCGAAATGGATAGAGTCCGCTGCCCATAAACATCCGCAATTACAGATGCGTTGCCTGCCCTTAATTGACGGGAAGGCACGCACATAAAGAGGACATTTCCCCTTCCTATGTGTCTCCTCCACCGTCAAATCCACTTTTACTTCCCATCCTTTCCTCTTAAGAAAAGGGTGGAAAGGGAAAGGGACTAAAATTAGGCCTCTGGCACCACACTCATCAGAAGAAACGCGGATGCTCCCTCTTCACGCCTGTCTTCTGTGTGGTCGTGGTATTGGGGGCGAGCCCTGCAGTGCGAAGATGTTAAAGCGGGCTCTACCACTTCCTCTAATATACACATTCTTAAGTATTTGTTCATATATTTTATTTAATTCCAGCGATTAATTAAAACTCGTCATTAATATTTCTAACATTGTAATCTGAAAAGCAATTATTTTGCACACTTTTATCTTTTGCAATTTGTTAATTGTTAATATTTTAAGTAACCTGTCCACATGTTCAAGGTCAGTCAAGTAATTCTTACACTTACAAAAGCATGCGCACACATTTGACTCAACTATCGTACAACAATAAAAAACCATCATTCATACTAATATTATAAAAGCGATTATATTTAACATTGGTAGTGCCCGCTTTAACATCTTAGCACTGCACGTCACGCCCCCAGTAATACCACGACCACAGACAGGCGTGAAATGGAAGCAATTCCGTGTTTCGTCCGATGAGTGTGTGCCGGAGGCCTAATTT